AATCTGAAAATAAATATATCGCATTACCCAGCTTTACCACTTATATCAAAAGAACTTCACATCCTAGTACAGAAATAACTACTTTTCCAAGTTCATTGCAGCAAGATTCATAACAACCAAGAAATAAAACTTCAGTACCCACCAATAAATGAAAGGATAATAAAATATGGTATATTTATACAATGTAAAATTATTTGGCTATAACAATGAGAGATGCACTCTCACCCTCAACTCTTGGGGGGAGGGTCTAGGCCCTGCCTTGGATGAAATGACAGACTATGGACCCCCCATGGAGGGCCTCACCCTCTCTGGGGGAAATGACGGGATGTTGGGGGGGGAATTGGTGGGAGGGCATGGGAGGAGGGGAGGGAAACGGACAGGGACCTGGAATTGACATGTGAAGCAACCTTGTTTCTAATTTAAATTTAAAAATAAAAAATAAAAATAAATTATTTGGCTATTTAAAAAATGTAATTTGCCTGTAAATTGATAGAGCTGGAAACATGAGTTCTCAGTAAGGTAACTCAGACCCGGAAAGACAAATATCATATATTTCTTTCATTTATGGATGTTATTTCTGAACATTCAGATATGTATGTTTGAAATATTATAGATATCAGGAAATTGCTAGAGGGGTAGCCTTCAAAGGAAGGGAGATGGAATGTACTGGCATAAAGGGTTAAAAGGGAATAAATGGGAAAAATGGGTTGAATTTGGATGGGGAGGCAGTGGAAAGCAGAATAGAGGAGGGAATATGAGGAGACATAAACAACATTAAAAATCTTTTGAAAAGGTAAAATAGAAGCCTACTTACTACTTATTGTCGAAGCTTCCTAAAATGAGTGTGTGTGTGTGTGTGTGTGTGTGTGTGTATGTGTGTGTGTAATAATATATCAAAAGAATTAAAATTGAGTTGCCCTATAACAGGGCAATCATTTCCTCACTATAACCACAGACTAACAAATAAAAAGTCCACTACTAGGAATGAGTTACTTCTTTTGGGGTTGTTGGGTACTGAGGACCCATAGGCTCCAAAACATTACAGGCCATTGCCAATTCTGTTAGTTACCATTCAGAATTAGATGGTAAGACCCTACTGATGAAGACATCAAATACTTAAGCTATATAACATGAAGAAATAAAGTTGATAATGACCTGAAAGTGTCATTGCTTTTGGTAAGTATTCACAGTACTAGAAGGTGTTAAAAATGCTATCAGAGAAGAAAAGTAAGCATCAATGCAATCATCAATTTTATCCAGCTGTGTACTTTGTGAGCTACAATAATGACAAAACTAGTAAGACATCCCCACTGGTACAATAATGACTTGGACCTCATGGGAATAACCCATCAATTTCTGATTGAATTTAAGTCCTGCTCCACAAGATAAAACCCATACCTGGCACCATTATCAGGTCAAGAACCTATTTCAAGACAAGTCATAGCCCTAGGGGAGAGCTCACTACAATTATTTTGCTAAATCAGCATAATAGTAACCCAATTTCTAATGATTTATCTTTATAACTATAGATTAATGTATCTGTAAACCCTCATCAAAGAAGCTTCTTTTGGTAGTAGGTGGTGAGTAACAGAGACTAAAAAAAGAACAAGGCACAGGAAATACGAGCCTGGGGAATTCTCATAGTCAGAATATATATATATATATGTATATATATATGTATATATATATATATTGTACCTTGTCTTTCCAATGGTAAGGTGTGATTGTGGAAGATGGAAATGAAAAGAATGTTGGAAGTAAACAATTGGATGACTTTAAGTAAACAATCTCTTTAGGACACAGCAAGACAACTGTACCTATGAATTCACAGCAATTGTGACGGTATGCATAAAACCCTAGCAAGTCCAATCCATACCAAATTCCAACATGGAGATGGGAATTCAACATGTAGTCTAACGGCTAGCCATGGAGCTATTAGCATTTATTAGCTGCTTGGAAAGAAAGAGATGGTTGTCTCTAAGAGTGTGGTCCTTCTGAATTCAACCACACTCCAGTGGTAAATTAAATATCCCACAACATACAGACAGCATAAATTAGTCTCAATGGGTTTGAAAACCAGGACATATAGTTGAGTGGATGGAGAAGTGGGGGTGAATCTGGGAAGAGTTGGGGAGATGAATGTGATCAAAACACATTGTACAAAATTATCAAAGAACATAAAAATTAACGAAAAGAGTTATGTTCTGATCACAATAAAGCTTTACAAGTGGATAAAATAGGGAGAGTGAATCCTGAGGAAACTCGGAGTTGTGATCTATAAATTTAGGAATCAGAGCATGCATGAGAGATAAAATCATAAAGCTGAATGAAATAATTTTTTAAAACTTTTTAAAAAGTTGTAAAATTAAAAGTGTGTGTGTGCGTACACGTGCGCATGTGAGTGTGTGTGTGTATGTGTGTGTCCAAGTGAGTGAGTGTAAGTACCCTTGGCCTGAGACCAGAAAAGGGTGTCTGCTAAAGCTGGAGTTATAGGCAATTGTAAGCCACCTGACACAATTTCAGGGAACTGAACTCCAATCCTCTTCAAGACCAGTAGATTCTCTTAAGTGCTTAGACATTTCTCCAGCTCATACATTTCTTGTTGCAAGACTCTGTTGGCTTGTGCCTAGAATGTAACTCCATTATTATAGGAATTTTTGTTAACCATCAATTCTCTGGTGCCTATTATTAATTGCACTTATTAAATATTCATTTAATGTGTACAGTAACAGGAATTTTTGTTAACCATCAATTCTCTGGTGCCTATTATTAATTAATTGCACTTATTAAATATTCATTTAATGTGTACAGTAACAGGAATTTTTGTTAACCATCAATTCTCTGGTGCCTATTATTAATTAATTGCACTTATTAAATATTCATTTAATGTGTACAGTAGAATCTTGTAAGTTTCTCATTAATACATTTTCCCTGCTATTGTTAAAGGAATTCCCCAAATCAAAGTCAGTCCACAGAAGTTCAAAACCTTTTTATAAAATATGCATATAAACTGTACACATTACTTCTATAGTTCAAATCATCCCAAGATTACTCATACACAATAAAACATAAGACTGTGTAAACAGTTTTTATGTTATGTATTTTAGACACTTAGCCCTATACCCTTTATACTTTCTTTTTCTGGAAAAGAGACATAGACATTCAAAATAAATCTTTCCTATTTTCATGAGCCCATGCATCTTCTTAGCTAGTCGTATCTGATTCTCCTAATATATTCATTTCTCTGTGATTTTATTTTTAGGAGGGAGAGGCTATGACTTTCAACCCTGCTACATGTGACCAACCTTACTTCTTGTACTAATGTTGCAAAGTAGACATGACAGAAAAAACTCTACATGGGAATATCTGAACCATGGCCAGGCTCAAAATTGACAAAGATCATATATAGCACTAAAGAGACAAGAGAGAATGCATACAGAATACCAAATTTGATTACGTTCCTTGAAGTAAATGTAGTTCATTGCTTATGTACAAACTAAGACATTTAAAGTTGTTTTAAAAAGCTTTGAATTCTAGAAGATACACTCACAAACCTTCTAGCCCAATTGCAATGTATAATTATGTTCACATAGTTTAAAACAAAGACTCAATGCACGTACAATTTCAGTGCCACCAACACGATGCCACAGTAAACTAATGTCTTAAAGTAAGCCTGTGTTGACTTAAGGCAATATTCACTCACAATGCCATTAGAAGATACATTTACTGAACTTTATCTGTAGCAGAAAGGTACTGATCTGCCTGGACCAGTCACATGGCTTGTGTTCCTGTGGAGCAAGGCTACTAGTTTCTTTAACCTTCGGTTGAATTTACACAGGACAGTCTCCCATGCAATACAAGTAGCTATTTCCAAAATGTTTTCTTAACCTTTGAGCCGTCTCTCAGTCACAGACAAAAATTATATTTTTCAATTGTATTTCGAGATAGTAAGTTTCCATATGGCTATTTAGTATACCTTTTATGGTGGTTAACCCTCCCTGAAATAATAATCCACCATGCATATTGTGGCCATTGATGCAATATTAGCATAACTACAATGGGCATAACCAATCACTTTCTGATTAAATTTAACGCCTGTTTTATAAGATGAAACTCTTGTCTGGTGCTGTAAACTGGGTCAAATACCATTACTGGGAGGGGCAGTCATAGGTGCTAGGGAAACATCCACCATTGTTTTGCTTAATGTCATCACACTGTCAAAGTTCTAAATCTGTGCGACTCTCAACCTGGTTCAGAGAAGCTTCATCTTGCAGTAGGTAGCAATTAATGCAGAGACTCATAACTGGTCAAAGCACTGAGAACAAGTGACTGCTGATTGCTCATTTCTGATTTGTGCATCAAAATCATACACCTTTCCAAGGGGCAGGTGAAAGATCATGCAGAATGTAGGAGCCAGAGGGTGAGAGGAAATGTTGCTAAATTCTGTCTTCTGTACAGACATGACCATTGTGTGTAAGAACTCATAGCAGCTGTGGTTAACTAAACAAGGCCTACATGTCACACGAAACTCCAGTATGGGAGAGGAGATCACTAAACCCTATCGCTAGCTGAGGAGTTACTGATAGTTGATGGCAACTGGGGAAGGGAGAAGCATTTTTAATTTGGGTGCATTGCTTGTGCTCCAGTGAATGGTCTCACACCCATAGGCATCCAGGCAGCACTAGCTGGACTCAGTGAGTTTTACTATACCAACAAGAATTCATGTAGTTGAGAGAGGTAAAATGCTAGTGGGTCTAATGGGAGTTTGTGGGAGGTACATTTGAACGAAGTGCATTATATACATGGGTAAAATTTCTGAGAAATAAATAGAAAATATTATTTTTGAAAGTTAGGTTCTGAGAACACTGTGAAGAATCATCATGTCAATTGATATGAGAAGACCCATCTTAGGTAAGGCCAGTCCCTAGACGGAGGAGCTGCGTAAAATGGAAATGCTAAGCACTGGCATATATAATTCACTGCTCTCTGCTCTTTGCTAGGTGGCCATTTCTCTCAAACTTCTACCACCTTGACTTTGTCACCATGAAGGACTGCAAAATGGAATTGTGAGTCAAATGAGCCCTTTCCCTTTAAGATGTTTTTGTCTGAGTGCTTTCTCACAACAACGTGAAAAGAAACAAGAAATGCCCCCTTTTCCATCTTGAAGTTAATCCCACTCATTCATACTTTTATATTTTGCTTATACCATAGTGTATCCTGGAAAACATTTCCCTGATCCTGTACTAAGAAATTTTGCATCATTGCTTCTCATACATGTATAATGTGACCATTTTTTATCATTTTTTATTTTAATTTTAAATAGCTTGTTTTACATGTCAATCCCAGTTCCCTCTCCCTCCCCTCCTCCCGCACTCCCCTTCCCCCCTCCCTCCCACCCTATTGCCAAATGCTACCACATAGGGGATATCTAGAGTCTGTCGTTTTACTCTTGGTAGGATCCAGGCACTCCCCTAAGAGTCCAGGCTGAGAGAGCATCTCTCTTTGTGCTATAGGCACACGAAGACAGTTTGTATACCAGGGATAGATACTGATCCACAGCTCAGGGCCCCATAGGTTACCCAGGCCTTCTCACTGACACTCACATTTGGGGGTCCTGATCAGTCCCATGCTGGGCTCCCCACTGTTGGTCTGGGGTCCAAGAGCTCTCCCCTGTTCAGATCAGCTGTCTCTGCTGGTTTTGCCATCCCATTCTTTGCCAATTTGCTCATCACTCCTCTCTCTCTGTCACTGGGTTCCTTGGGTTCAGTTCAGTGATTAATTGTGTGTTTGCCTCTGCTTCCATCAGTCACTGGATGAAGGCTCCCGGATGGTTATAGACATCAAGTTCATTATGAGGAATGGGCATTCAAGGTGGTCCCTTCACTATTGCTTAGCTTGCCAATTCGTGTTATCCCTTTAGATCACTCGAGGTCACTCTGGTGCCTGATCTGTCTTCGATCCTATGATTCCCTCTAACCCCCTATTCTACCCCCACCCCATCAACTTCCTGTTCCCCCATGACCAACTCTCTTCCTCTTCACTCCCTCTCTTCTTCCCAGGTCCCACTCCCCCCCACCCCTCGCCGTGTTCCCCATCCATTCAGAGGATCTTGTCTTCATCCTCTTCTCTTGGGTACTATGCATATATGCATATCTTTTAGGTTCTTTCCTGTTTCCCAGACTATCAGTGGAAGTGCAGACTGGCACTATCCTGATCCATGTCTAAAATCCATATATGAGTGAGTACATACCATGTTTGTCTTTTTGCGACTGGGTTACCTCACTCAGGATGGTTTCTTCCAGTGCTATCCATTTCCCTGCGAATTTCAAGATTCCATTGTTTTTTTTTTCTGCTAAGTAATACTCCATTGTGTAAATGTACCACATTTTCTCTATCCACTCTTCAGATGAGGGGCATCTAGGTTGCTTCCAGGTTCTGGCTATTACAAACAATGCTTCTATGAACATAGTGGAGCAGATGCCCTTGTTGTATGAACCTGCCTCATTTGGATAAATGTCTAAGAGTGGAATTGCTGGGTCTAGTGGTAGATTAATTCCCATTTTCCTGAGGAATCTCCATACTGATTTCCAAAGAGGCTGTATGAGTCGGCACTCCTACCAGCAGTGGAGGAGTGTTCCTCTCTCTCCACATCCTCTCCAGCATGAATTGTCTTCGGGGTTTTTTATTCTAGCCATTCTGACAGGAGGAAGATGGTATCTCAGAGTTGTTTTGATTTGCATTTCCCTGATGGCTAAGGATGTTGAGCACTTTCTTAAGTGTCTCTTGGCCACTTTAGCCTCCTCTACTGAGAATTCTCTATTTAGCTCTGTACCCCACCTTTTAATTGGATCCTTTGGTGTTTTGGAGACTTGTTTCTTGAGTTCTTTGTAAATTTTGGAGATTAGCCCTCTGTCAGATGTAGGGTTAGTGAATATCTTTTCCCATTCTGTGGACTGCCTTTTTGTCTTGTTGACTGTGTCCTTTGCGTTACAGAAGCTTTTCAGTTTCAGAAGGTCCCATTTGTTAATTGTCGATCTCAGTGTCTGAGCCACTGGTGTTATGTTTAGGAAGTGGTCTCCTGTACCAACTCGTTGAAGAGTATCTCCCACTTTCTCTTCTGAAAGTTTCAGTGTGGCTGGATTTATGTTGAGATCTTTGATCCATTTGGACTTAAGTTTTGTACAAGGCGATAAACATGGATCTATCTGCAGTCTTCTGAATACCAGTACCCAGTTATGCCAGCACCATTTGTTGAAGATGCTTTCTTTTTTCCATTGTACAGTTTTAGCTTCTTTGTCAAAAATCAAGTGTGCATAGGTGTGTGGGTTAAAATTAGGGCTTTCGATTAGGTTCCATTGGTCTACCTGCCTATTTTTGTGCCAATACCAAGCTGTTTTCAGGACTATAGCTCTATAATAGAGCTTGAAGTCAGGTATGGTGATGCCTCCTGAAGTTCCTTTATTGTATAGGGATGTTTTGGCTATCCTAGGCCTTTTGTTTTTCCATATAAAGTTGATTAATGTTCTTTCCAGGTCGTTGAAGAATTGTGATGGAATTGTGATAGGGATTGCATTGAATCTATAGACTGCTTTTGTCAAGATTGCCATTTTTATTATGTTGATCCTACCAATCCAAGAGCATGGGAGATATTTCCATTTTCTGGTATCTTCTTTGATTTCTTTCTTTAAAGACACAAAGTTCTTGATATACAGGGCCTTCACTTCCTTGGTTAACATTATCCCCAGGTATTTGATGCTGTTTTTGGCTATTGTAAAAGGTGATGTTTCTCTGATTTCTTTCTCAGTCACTTCATCATCTGTATATAATAGGGCCACTGATTTTTTGAGTTTACCTTATATCCTGCCACATTGCTGAAGGTGTTTATCAGCTCTAGGAGTAACCTTGCGGAGTTTTTTGGGTCACTTATGTAAACTATCATATCATCTGCAAATAGTGAAAGTTTGACTTCTTCTTTTCCTATTTGTATCCCCTTTATCTCCTTTTGTTGTCTTATTGCTGTAGCTAGAACTTCAAGTACAATATTGAAGAGATATGGAGAGAGTGGACAGCCTTGTATTGTTCCTGATTTTAGAGGAATTGCTTTGAGTTTCTCTCCATTTAGTTTGATGTTAGTTGTTGGTTTACTGTATATTGCTTTTATTATATTCAGGTACATTCCTGTTATCCCTGATCTCTCTAGGACCTTTATCACGAAGGGGTGCTGGATTTTGTCAAAGACTTTTTCAGCTTCTAGTGAGATGATCATGTGGTTTTTCTTTCGCAGTTTGTTAATATGTTGGATTACATTGATAGATTTTCTAATGTTGAACCATCCCTGCATTCCTGGGATGAAGCCTACTTGATCATGGTGGATGATTTTTCTGATGTGTTCTTGAATCCGGTTTGCGAGTATTTTATTGAATTTTTTTGCATCGATGTTCATGAGGGAAATTGGTCTATAGTTCTCTTTCTTAGTTGTGTCTTTGTGTGGCTTGGTTATCAAGGTAATTGTAGCCTCGTAAAAAGAGTTTGACAGTGAGCCTCCTGCTTCTATTGTGTGGAATACTTTGAGGAGTATTGGAATTAGCTCTTCTTTGAATTTCTGGTAGAATTCTGCACTGAAGCCATCTGGGCCTGGGCTTTTTTTGTTTGGGAGACTTTTGATGACTGCTTCTATTTCATTAGGGGTTATAGGTCTGTTTAGATTGTTTATCTGTTCTTGATTTAGTTTTGGCAAGTGATATCTATCCAGGAAATTGTCCATTTCCTTTAAATTTTCAAATTTTGTGGAGTACAGATTTTCAAAATATGCCCTGATGATTCTCTGGATTTCCTCAGAGTCCGTTTTTGTGTCCCCTTTTTCATTCCTGATTTTGTTAATTAGCATGCTCTCTCTCTGTCTTTTGGTTAGTTTGGACAGAGGTTTGTCTATTTTGCTGATTTTCTCAAAGAACCAACTCTTTGTTTCATTGATTCTTCTCAGTGTTTTCTTGGTTTCTACTTGATTGATTTCAGCCCTCAATTTGATTATTTCCTGGCGTCTGCTCCTCCTGGGGCAGTTTGCTTCTTTTTGTTCTAGAACATTCAGCTGTGCTATTAATTCTCTAGTATGACTGTTCTCCAGTTTTTTCATGTGGGCACTTACTTAGTGCTATAAACTTTCCTCTCAGCACTGCTTTCAAAGTGTCCCATACGTTTGTGTATGTTGTGTCTTCATTCTCACTGAAATTGAGGAAGTCTTTAATTTCTTTTTTTATTTCTTCCTTTACCCAGGGATGGTGCAATTGTGCATTGTTCAATCTCCATGAGTTTGTAGGGTTTTTGCGATTTGTGTCATTGTTGAATTCTAATGTTAATGCATGGTGGTCTGATAAGATACAGGGGGTTATTCCAATTTTTTTGTATCTGTGGAGATTTGCTATGTTTCCTATTATGTGGTCAATTTTAGAGAAGGTTCCATGTGGTGCCGAGAAGAAGGTATATCCCTTTGTATTTGGGTGGAATGTTCTATAGATGTCTGTTAAACCCAGTTGGGTCATAACTTCTATTAGTTCTTTTGTTTCTTTGTTAAGTTTCTGTCTGGAGGTCCTGTCTAGCAGTGAGCGCAGAGTGTTGAAGTCTACTACTATTAGTGTGTGAGATTTTATGTGCATTTTGAGCTTTAGTAATGTTTCTTTCACGAATGTAGGTGCCTTTGTATTTGGGGCGTAGATGTTTAAAATCGAGACTTCGTCTTGATGTATTTTTCCTTTGATGAATATGAAGTGCCCTTCTTCATCTCTTTTGATTGATTGTATTTTGAAGTCTATTTTGTTAGATATTAGGATTACTACGCCGCTTGTTTCTTGGGACCATTTGATTGGAAGTTCTTTTCCCAACCCTTTACTCTGAGATAACGTCTGTCTTTGATGTTGAGATGTGTTTCTTGTATAGAGCAGAAGGAAGGGTTCTGTCTTCACATCCATTCTGCTAGTCTGTGTCTTTTTATTGGCAAGTTGAGGCCGTTGACATTGAGGGATATTAATGACCATTGATTGGTGATCCTTGTTTGCGCTTGATTTATTGTTAGTGAAGTTATTTTGTGTACTTTCTCCTCCCTTTTTCTTTTGGTGTTTTGTAAAGTGGGATTATATATTGCCTGTGTCTTTGTGAATGTAGTTATCTTCCTTGGCTCTAGGTTTTCCTTCTAGCATTTTCTGTAGAGCTGGATTCATGGATACGTATTGTTTAAATCTGGCTTTGTCATGGAATATTTTGTTTTCTCCATCTATGGTAATTGAGAGCTTTGCTGGATATAGTAGTCTGGGCTAGCATCCTTGTTCCCTTAGCGTTCGTAGGACATGTGTCCAGGATCTTCTGGGTTTCATCGTTTCCATTGAGAAGTCATGTGTAATTCGGATAGGTCTGCCTTTGTATGTTACTTGGCCTTTTTCTTTAGCTGCTCTTAATATTTTCTCTTTACTCTGTAGGTTTGATGTTTTGATTATTATATGGCGAGGTGACTTCTTTTTCTGGTCAAACCTATTTGGTGTTCTGTAAGATTCTTGTACTTTCATAGGCATATCTTTCTTTAGGTTAGGGAAGTTTTCTTCTATGATTTTGTTGAATATGTTTTCTGTACCTTTAAGTTGAATTTCTTCACCTTCTTCTATACCTATTATTCTCAGGTTTGGCGTCTTCACGGTGTCCCATATTTCCTGGATATTTTGTGTTAAGGATTTGTTGGTTTTGAGATTTTCTTTGGTTGATGACTCTATATCCTCTAATGAGTCTTCAACACCTGAGATTCTCTCTTCTATCTCTTGTATTCTATTGGTGATACTTGCATCTGTAGTTCCTGATCATTTACCCAGCTTCTCTATTTCCAGCATCCCTTCATTCTGTGTTTTCTTTGCGGCCCTGAAGATCGAGGGGGATGGGTGATGGGCAGGCGGTCCTCACTGGAGACCCAATCTCACCTGAAGCTGGAATTGCTGAGGTTGGGGTCTTGGAGGGGCTGATGTCTTTCCTGTGTGGTCGGGTCTTCTGGATGCCGGGAACGGCCCTGAAGATCGAGGGGGATGGGTGATGGGTGGGCTGTCCCAGCCGGAGACCTAATCTCACCTGAAGCTGGACTCGCTGGGGTTCTAATGTGACCATTTTATTGTCCACTTTCAACTCTGTCTTCCCCACATTAAATTTTCACTTTTCTTTTAAGCCTTGAAAAATACTCACAAGGGTTTGAGATCATAAATATAATAAATACTTGTTGAAGGAATCTTAGATTTTTTTATTGGGCTTTTTCATTTGCTGCTCTTAATATTCTTTCTTTATTCTATGTGGTTGGGGTTTTGATTAGTATGTGGTGAACAGACTTCTTTTTTGGTTCTCTGCATTTGGTGTTCTGTAAGCTTCTTGTACTTTCATTGGCATATCTTTCTTTGGGTTGGGAAAGTTTTCTTCTATGCTTTTTTTAAATCTGTTTTCTGTACCATTGAGGTGGTTTTCTTTTTTCTTTTTTATTTATTTGTTTTTCAGTTTAAATTTAGATTAGAAACAAGGATGCTTCACAAGTCAGTCCCAGGTCCCTCTCCCTTTCACTCCCCTCCTCCCGTGCCCTCCCCCAACCCCCCCATTATCCCCTTACTTCCCCAGGGAGGTTAAGACCCTCCATGGGGGTGTCCATAGTCTGTCATTTCATACAGGGCAGGGCCTATACCCTCCCCCAAGAGTTCAGGGTGAGAGTGCATGGGATGGGATCTTAGATTTTTGACAGCTTTCCCATATAAGATAACAGCAGGACTGAGAGGCCTAATTCCTAAACACCCCTACCACAACCCGTGGCCCTAGAATAATCAGAGTTCTACTGTGTTGAGTTTCAGATTAAAGTTATTTTAAAAGAATTCTGTTGGGTTCTTAAGTATGAAAGGCACTAATGTAAACCATTTGTTCCAACATTTACAGAGCAGTCATTATGTAGCCAGTACTCCACTCATCACCCCAATGGGCAATAAACAAAACTCCCTTGGAGTTAGGGTTATTGAGGACTTGGATAGGTATACACAATGGGGAACACATTTCTGGCAATCAGAGTAACTCAACACCTATGCACTGAGACAATCAAGGACCTGGCTCTCCATCACTCTTCTCTCACAATGTGGAACACCAAGAGTGAAGGAAATACTGCCCTAGTCTGGCCAGCGCCTCTCCTGTTAGCCATTCCTTACCATTATTGCCTCACTGGCTAGACTCCAGAATGATGGCTCTATTGTCTTGCACCTTTAAATCATAGCAGACAGAGTAGAGTGCCAGGCAGATTGTTTTCCTGTTAGTACACCAGGCTCTCCTTTGGGTACTGGAATTTCTGTGTCCTCTAACAGAGCAAATGTCTGCATAAAGTCTTCAACCTAACTCCCCAGAGTCTACCTAGAGGCTGTGCTGGTTATAAGAAACTGCCTTTCCCATTATATTTCTATAATCCTGAACACTAAGCACCTAACGTTATCTGCTGCCACCATCACCAGGCAATACTGAATCATGTGCAGATATCAGTGAGCCAGGATGCTGCCTAAGAATAAGACAAGCTCAAAATAATCCGCACTAACCCCCAGTGCCTGTCAACTCCCTCTGAAGAGGCAGGTAAACAACTGGTCTCTGAGCCCTGAAATAACATTGACACTAGAAATAAATCTCCTTGGTGAGTTAGGGTTCACCAAAGCAGAAGAATTAGATGCTTATCACCCTGCCATTTAGTAGTATTCCAATGCTTTGGTATGAGCTGCCAAACTTCAGGTAGATGGCACGTTTATTTGAGTAATGGCAATGGGAAACAGGCCAGGAAAGATAGTTGGGCTTAGTAACAAGGGTGTAGCAAGGAGGATCGTGCTCACAAACTGGTAACTGTTTTCTTATATTCAGTTCTCTGGTCCTTACACATACATGGATATATAAATTCTCTGAATGGACAACAGTCAAGGCATGTATGCCTGATTAATTGGAAACAGAGAACACTAAGGATCAGTGTTGTCTTTGACAATCCACATTCTTCAGAGATAGGCACAGTAATTTACTAAAAGTAAATATGAAGAAGTAGGTGAAAACACTGCCACTGGCTTAATCAACGTTTTCTGATAAATAACCCCATATAGAACTGAAGCCGCCCACTGAGAACTATCTCAGGTCTTCTCAACTTTCATCCCAGAAGAAGAATTTACCTCTTACTTAGCAACTGATGATAGAAACACAAGATAAATTAAGTTCTTGTGTCTACTTATGGGAAAGATATGAGGAAATGTTTTTCTCTCACTACTAGAAGAATCACTGATAACATGCCATAGGGCATATGGGTGTGTAAGATTAGCAGAGTAATAGATTTTAAATGGCCTTCAGGAAAAAGTCAGCTTTTCTAGAGCTTGTTATTCCTAACAACTGACACTTTGCAGCTCTTGATAAATCACTCTCCATTTACCTCTCACCCCTGATAATAATCTGTCCAGTTTATTATGTGAGTTTGATTATTTTTGCTACCCCACATAAATAAAATCTGACTCAGTTATATTTTACGTAGATTAAAATTTGTTCAGATCTTACCCTTTTCCCCCACCACAATAAAACAATGAAATAAAAATACCAAAGGTTCTCAACAGCAAAATGGAGCAAAACAGAAGAGTAGAGAAAAATTACCAAAGTTATAATTATCCCCACCTTGAACTTGATATCCTTAAATTAGCAAGTCATTCTTATTAATTTTCTAATTCACTGAAGAGGCAAAAGTGACCCAGATAAGTAACATGACCTACTAAAGGTCACCAAGCTGAGAGGCATGCCAGAATCTGCCAGGCTCCTCAAGTGCTGGCATACCCATTACTTAGCCTACTTAAAGCTCTGAACAAGAGCATCAGTGATATAAAGTAATGCAGCATAGGGCAGAGACTTCAGTGTATGTTCCTCTGCTCAAGCAGCTGCAGCATAGAACTGCAGTCTAGGGGTTTAGAACAATATTTATCTGTCACAGCCTTGGCAGCTGGAGGCCAAAGAACAAGAAGTTGATACATTTGATTTCTCCTGTAGCATTTCTCCTTGGCTTTCAGAGTGCTACATTCCCACTGTGTCCTCATTTGGCCTCTGTCCTGTGTGACAATATCCCTGATGTCTCTGTCTCTTTGGATTCCTTTAAGGATATCAGTCATACTGAAGTAGATCCTTAACTTCATGTCAATGTTCACATAGGGTTTTGTGTGGTTTAAAACCAAGCATGCCAAGAAAGGGCTTGCCCACTGAGCTTCACCTACATCCCTGAAGTTATTTACCTTGTTAAACTCCTATATCCAAAATGCATTCACATCCTGAGATTTCAAGAGTCAGGATTTCAACATATGAATTTGGGTGAGTTTGATGAGTATTCTTCCCACAAGCCTTGTCTGACAGTCCCAAATGAATACACAGGAGGACACTATATTAATTATGAAGCTGTTGACTGTTTGCTATGATTTCTTGTTGGCTACCTCTGAGTTAATTATTAACCCATAATATTTCCATGTGGTCTTCTCTTACAGGAGAAAAGGGTCAGGACCTCTTTCTTACTCCTCTCGCGTCCTACATGGTGACTTACTGTGCCTCCATTTCCCAGAATCGTCCAGTTCTCCTATCTTGCTTTCCTATTGGCCAGAAGTGCTTTATTCATCAACCAATTAGACAAAAATATATACAAAAGGACTTCCTCCATCAGGTGAGTGTTACAATTTAGTCCATATCATTATGAATACTATGCTAAGTATCAATAATGAATATACAACACAGTCTACATCCACAAAACTACATTTCATTCTTCCTTCCCAACATGGCATAAAGAATTTCTTTCCATACTTTGGATAAACTCCCACTAAGTCATGTGCCTTCTCTAGTTTCTTCCAACCTACTGCACCCTGTCCCTGTAGATTTTTCTCAGTGATCCTGTGGCTACTCTTATCTTCTGCATGCCTTTTTTATATGTGAATCAAATGCCCTCCAGAACCTCATTACTCACTCAAACACAAAATCTTCCTACAAATAGACAAAATATATGTAGGTACAATGGACACCTATACTGAAGCAGCTTTACGCTGTTTAATAACATGAAATGAGAGTAAATGTCATGGTACTCCAGAAGTGTTGACTGAGGGCTGTCAAGGGACAGAAACAGGGTCACTTCACTCTTCTCTCTGTCCCCCTTTCATAGTCTTTTTCAAACACCATGGAAAAGGTCTTGCTCTCTGTTTCTGTTAGACTGTTCTATTTTCTACCCTTACACTCTAAGCAGTGAGAAACTCAAATAAGAATAAAGGACATTTATCTCACTTTGAGAGGCTGGGCTTTTTTTTCAGTGCTGCTCTGAAACTCTCACTCTCCAAACTAGACAGCTCCAAAAAGGTATGAAAAGGGAAGAAATGAAATTAGGAATAAAGAGCAGAAGAGCAGAAGGAGGAAGAATGGAGGTTGAAGGAAAGCATGAGCAAAGATTACAGAGGCCACTGGTGGCCTCCTTTCTGAGCACAGGAAGGAACCTGGCTATCTTTTGCAGAGCATATACAAAGATAGCCTTTCTCTGGACAAAGACTCTGATGGGAACTGAAAGAGGATTGTGCTCATTTCTACTCTCACGGTTGTATTAAATGTATAACTTCATCATCTGGCTCCTAATCAGCCCAAGAATGAGGTCAGCAAGCGCCTAGTGGTTTATTTTTATTCCTGATATCATCTTCCTGATCCCAAAGGGAGCCCAACCGCTTATTTAAGACCATACGATGTGGTTGTTAAACTCGTGCATACCTGAGGGACCTTTCCTGTCGGTTGTAGGGGGAAGAGAGAAGTTTAACTGAATATCACATGTCCATGGCTCTCTTCCACATTGAGCAATTGCTTCTCATTCATTCATCATTATATAACAGTTCTGGAATACTAACTAAACTCCAAGACTTTGCACAGGGGACTCCATGGAGAACATAATCTATTGTTCCAAGTTCTCCATGATCTTAGGACAAGATGAATCAAGAATGCGTGTAAGCAATAATGACAAATGTGGCTCAAAATAGCATGCTCAAAAGTGTAAGATGAAAATTAAAAACAACAGTGCAATACAAATGTAAGAAAAGCAGAAATTTTTTGCGAAAAAAGAAGTAGAAAACCCTGGGGCCATACAAGCTTGCAGAGACTGAACTGACAACCAGGGAACATGCATGGGACTGACCTAGGTCCTCTGCACATGTGATAGTTATGTAGCTTGGTCTTCTTGTGGAACTCATAACAGTGGGAACCAGGAGCTGTCTATGACTCTTTTACAGGCTTTTGAGACCCTATTCTGCATACCAGTTGCCTTGCCTAGCCTTAACACAAAGGAAGTTGCTTAGTCTTACTGCAACTTGATATGCCATGATTTGTTGGTACTCATGGGAGACCTGACCTTTCCTGAACAGAAATGGAAGCAAAGTAGACTGGTAGTGGGAACAGAGATGGGGGGCAGGCTGGGAAGAGATGAGGAAGAAGAAACTGGTGCCAAGATGTAAAGTACACCTATTATTTATTCATTCACTCATTTAAATGAGTGCAGGATAGTGTGAGAAGCATCTCTGTTTGCCATCTTGGAAGGTCAGAATCAAGTTGTCAACTGAGCTGCATTTTCACTGGAAGACCCAGGGTTCTTCAAAGCTCACAATGGTAGCTGTGGGGAAATTCAGTTACGTCCAGGTACAAGATTTCTTTGCTAGCTGTCAGTCAGTGGCCACTCTTGGGCCACTCGTGGGTAGGAAGCATTTTTTCTCATATAGACACTTCCATATTCAAACTGAGAAAAGCACATTATGTCCTTCCCAATTTGTAAAGTTGATTTACTATATCTTCTTTCCCTTCCTGCCACAAGAAAGGATTTTAAGGGTTTGTGTGATTAGATTAGACCAACTGGAAAAATATTCCTATTTCACCATCAACTGTGCTATGTAACTATGGAAGTAATATTTTATCATACTACATAGTAACATTTGTCCAAGAGTATGAGAGTACATTTTTAGAATTATGCCACAACAGACTTTGATGATCCCCCGTGGAAGGTCTCACCCTCACTGGTCGTGGGATGGGGGATTGATGGGGGCCATGGGACGATGGGAGGGAGAGGGTACTGTGCAAGTTTACATGCATGTACCCCTGCAAGTTTCTTCTTATTACTTGTTGTGGCATAATTCTTTTTTCTTTTCATTTATTTATTTAATTTATAAACAATCTTATTTTACATATAAATCCCAGTTCCCTCATTGTCATTTACTTTCCAAAAGCAAAGGGGTGAGTTATAGAATATGATCTCTGTCATACTTCCACCGTATATTTGCATTATGCTTTACATTTAGCACAGTATGTGATAGGAATATTGTGAGTTTCATCCCTGTCTTCCTCAAAAAATAATGGGGGACAATGACAGAATAGGAAGAGGAAAAGAAGGAAGAGGAGAGGGGAGAAGAAAGGTGAGGAAGAAGAGGTGAAGCACAAGGTAAAGGAGGATGTGTACATCTTATGGACTCCTTTGAGCTTCTCCCAGCCCTATAAAAAGAATGAGAATGCAAATTTAAAACAATCTCTTTCCAAATTTGCTAATTGAAAACAACCTAGTTTGGCAAGAGTTTAAAGCAAAGAAAGATAATTGCATTGTTAATGAGTTAATGTTCTACACAACCGCTGACTCAGACTTAAAAAGATAGCACTAGAGAACCACGTGCTAGTGCTGGCTTGGCATGCAGAAGTCCAAAAGAGTTTGGCAATTTGAAGGGAAGCAGAGTGTCGGAGAAGAGGAAAGATTGCATAACCAGAAGAAAGATCCCTTTTCAGAGGTTGTGTACCAAAGGTTCAGAGCTTGGTTCAGGATCCTGGAATGCTACTGAGTCAGAATTCTGTACAAATAATGAGAGCATGTCTGACCTAGAAATGAAAAGTGGATTACACAAAGTTCAGACAAAAAAGGACTTTGCATTCACAGGGACAATGTAAAGGAGGCAAGGATTGTAGCACGTGGGGAGGGCACACAAGGAAAATTAAATAACCAATGAAGATGGTTGGAATATTATCATATTTCAATCTACAGTAAGCTGAAGGCAAAATACTAATCAATTGTCTTTAATTTAATTAATTAATATTTACCTTGGACATTCTTATTGAGAAGTGAAGTATAATTTGAACCCTGAATGGTGGCACACACCTGGAGTCCCAGCACTTGGAAGGATGAAATGCAAGAATTACTAGTATTAGCTTAGATTGCCTCAAAGAAAAAGGCAGGCAGGCAGGCAGGCAGACAGACAGACAGACAGACAGACAAACAGACAGACAGGCAGGCAGGAAGGAAATAAGGAAGGAAGGAAGGAAGGTGTCCCAACCCGTAGGACACTCAACATGGGTCTGCTGGACACCTAGGAAAAAGATGGGGGGGCAGGGGACACAAGGATGGGCACCAAGACAAGAGTCTGATCAAGGCTACAACTTTATTCATCCCAAAGGGATTTATATAGGGGAGGGGAGGAGGGGAAGGAATGGGGGATGTGCTGTAGCTGCATTGAACCTGGCGGAGCAAAGGTCAGTGGGATGGGCAGGTCATCCTGTGTCCTCTGGTAACCTAACTGCAGACTCTAACTTTATCTTTCACATTCCACCTTCTATTGTTTAAGCCTACTCCCTAGATAAGCCACAGGTCTGTTTCTGGAATTTGGCAGGTAGCAGGGTGGTCTTTTCTTATGAGTATGTAAAGCAGCCCTACCTGGTTGATGGTCAGAGGTCCCTTACAGGAAGGAAGGAAGGAAGGAAGGAAGGAAGGAGGGAGGGAGGGAGGGAGGGAGGGAGGGAGGGAGGGAGGGAAGGAAGGAAGGAAGGAAGGAGAGAAGAAATTAAATATATGTACTCTATGATAATCTGCCAGTTACATATGTCCCATGGTCCAAAATCCTTTGGAGGTTTATAACACAATTTCTAGGGTGTGCTATAGACCTATGAGTTGGAACTCCCACAAACATTCTTTAACAGAAGCACCATAGAACTGAGGGAAGAACTGAGCCCCATGAGCACAATTCTCCAAAGCAGCAGAAAGCTCAGGAACACTGGAAATAAACAGTACCTTATGAGAGGTTTTAAAGCAGTAAAGTGAAGGCTATCTAGTCACTCATTTTCACAAGTGGATATCATTGTTTTTCTTTTCAGGTCATAAAGCAAAGATACAGATTGGTTAAGAAGCTTACCCAAAACCGCATCTGTAATTAGTGAGAATCGGAGCTGTTCACTGTCATTCTTGAAAGGCATTTTTATTTGTAGGCCCACTATCTTGAGTATATTTTACTGTAAAGTATTAATGAATAGTGCAATGATTCAGAACACCAAAGGAGAAGGACGTTTTTTAGGTATACATTTAGTGGATGAATTAGTGAATCAAATAATTGGATTTGTTGAGTTTGGTAGATTGGATAGATTGCTAGTATTGACTGTTAATTTGATCTAGACTCATCAGGGAAACAAAATTCTGTTCATATATGAGGATTGTCTACACTGAGCTAACTGAGGTAAGAATGTATACTATAAATGTGAGTGACACCAATCCTTGGGCTGGATCCTAGGAATGAAATAAAAATGAGAAAGCTAGGTGAGCATCAACATCCATCACTCTGATTCCTGATGCAATGCAAGGTGACCAGCTGCTTCAAGCTTCTGACCCCATGACTTTCTTCCTGTTATGGATTATATCTGAAATAGAAGGGGAAATGCATCCTTCCTAAATTTACTTTTGTCAGATATTTTGTCTCATCAGTATATAAAGTAACTAGTACAGTGAAATCAGTACTAGAAGTGGTACATCTATTGTGATGAACCTAGGATTTGATTCTTGGGCTTTTGGACTTGATTGTGGAAGGAATGTATAAGAGTTTGAAACTCGAGGCTAAAATGCCCTTGAGTACTATAGCAGACCTTAATTGGCTATTCTGGTGAGAGATTGGAAGATCAGAATGCTGAAACAATAAAGGCCTG